ATTTGAAAATAAACGCATATAAATTGAATTTGTTGAAGAATTAAAATATTTAGGAGATATTTTGGATACCAATGTACAGGGCACTAAATGGTATAAGCGCTTATACCATTTAGTGCCCTGTAGGTTGGTATAACGCTTATACCATTTAGTGCCCTGTAGATTGGTATAACGCTTGTACCATTTAGTGCCCTGTAGAATGGTAATATCTTTTTTATTCATTATTATTTTGATAAGGAATGAATATGACATTTGTAAATATGTTACCTGTCAATTATCTTTTTTATTCATTATTATTTTGATAAGGAATGAATGTGACATTTGTAAATATGTTACCTGTCAATTGGTGATTTAAACAATAAAATAAAAATAAAATGCATCCCTGTATGAATACAATTTTCTGGTTTGTTTTAATTGCTTTGTGTTTTAAGATGAGGTACAAGGAAAGAGAGTGAATGCATGGTCATGTAGAGAGGTTGAGATGAATCTTATTTTGTTCTTGCAAAAGATAGGAAATAGAAAGGAACATTTAGCTTTATTTCTACCAATTAAAGTTGAGTTCTGGTCATGCGATTGCATTGTGAAAGAAACGGTGTGGAATCGACCAGAAAAGGTTGATCATCTAGCATATAAGAATTTGTGTGTATTGCAAGGTTCTAGAATCATCAAAATGATAAGAAATTTGTCCAAGTCTTGGTAAAGTTACAAACACTGTACACAGAATGATGTATATGGGACTACCAGACACGTGGCGTAAATATCCTACCCCCCCCCCGAGTTTTACGATTTTACTGACATATTTAGAATATAAAGGCATTTGAAGAGCCATGCTTTTCAGGGAACATGTCTTATCTGATGATCTTCCACACTTGCATAATAAGAATTATTACGCTCACAAATTATTTTACACCTCTTCCCAGAAGTCAACCTTCTCTTTAATAACAGAGATTTGTGACTTGATGGTTAATAAAATATCAAATAAACAAGGATTTTATAGCATTTTCTGTATCTTTTTACAGTCCAGAAATGAAGAAATAGTCCAGAATGGAATAATTTGTTGTTTAACAGCACATATATGAAAATACAAACAAGCAACGTCTCACAAATTAACACGAAAACATTGACACAATCACTACAAAATAAATCAGAGCAGCTGTTCGTATACACGATAATAATTATAAGACGTAATATTAAAGTAGGAGCATATGGAAACGTTTGCTTGTATTTGTCTCATAAAAGAATCTGACCACGAACTGACTCCCACACGGTGTTGAGTGCTCAGGGGTCACAGGCCAATGGCTTCATCGGGCAGGTAGTTCCATTATGTGAATGGGTAAATTAACTATTACAAAATGAGGGAACACATTACGTTGTACAATAGGGACACCGGACACACATTGTTTTTATTGTGCAGAACATACTCTAACTCTAACAATTGGAGTACAAAGAATAATAACAGGTGAATTAAATGCATAAACACCACAACACACCTGGGGAGGAAGCATTCATAAATTTGAATACATATAGTTGATAAACGACTCCGATGAAACTAGAAAACCAAAATGAAATTTGCGTTCTGGCAATTGGACTACAAAGAATGATAGCAGGTGAATGAAATGCTTCAACAGCAACACAAACACCTGGGAAGCTAGGAAGCATCCATAAATTTGAATAATTTAGTTGATAAACCACTCCACATGTGGACGTTTGTTGGAGCAGAAAGCAGTGGATTCTTAACACGAACCCATTTAACAGAATGTCGGAACGTAAATTAAATTTGGCGCGGTTGGAAAATGCATCTTAATTTCTACCCTGCGAATTTAAAGAGAAGATTCATTGATTTAAAAAAACTAACTTTAATGTCATTATTGCAAAGGTGACACTTTGATTGGCCAAGGTTATCAAAAGCCAATGCTTAGACAACATTCAAAGTAATGATTATTAACAATTACAAAACGCTTAGATACAGCCCCGACATAGCACCTGAAAAGCTCTCCGGTCGCTGCTGAGATATGACGTCACATGTTGAACATGATGTGCACAAGCAGACGATGTCCCATGACATCTCACACAATTTCACTGCCTGTTTTTTCTTCTTTTCTTCAGTTATTTCTCTTTAGTAGGAGACCAGCCTGTAGGTCCCGTGACCAATCTCGGGGAACAAAGGTTTGAAAGTGTTTTTGTGTTCCCTGATGAATACCGAACAATTTTGACTTGGGCTGCCCCCTTGAAAATCCCAGGCATTTTCGTGAGGGGTCAACAAAGGTCATACAGGGTTGAAATTCAAATATACTCCAATCGTGTCGATATGCATATCGAATTACTCGTCTGGTCATGAGGATTCAAAAAATGTATAGTTTGCTATACCTCCGACCTTAAATGAGGGCGCTATGGTCAAAAACGTTGAAAGGTCAACACACTTTTGACTGGTGGTCAAATTCACCAACACAGTGAACCTTATCAAATTTCACATCAAATTACTCGTCTGGTCATGAAGATTCCAAAAATGTATAGTTTGTTATACCTCCGACCTTAAATGAGGGCGCTATGGTCAAAAAGGTCAATGCACTTTAGACTGGTGGTCAAATTCACCAACACTTAACATTGTCTGATTCTAATGATTTTAGTGTCATATAATATGTTTTCTGACACGGCAAATTCAACTATACCACTTTCAAAAGTAAAAGTACTTACCTTGACCATGTACATTCAAAATGGCTGCTGTTTCGGTGACAAACATATATAACTTCTTATCCATGGGTTTGAGGGAAATTTCAAAGTTATGGCAACCACTTTTGGTTTTAAAAGTTGCTTAGTTGAATTTGTTATGTCAGAAAACATATTATTAGACACTAAAATCATTAGAATCGGACGTTGTTAACTGTGTTGGTGAATTTGACCACCAGTCTAAAGTGCATTGACCTTTTTGACCATAGCGCCCTCATTTAAGGTCAGAGGTATAACAAACTATACATTTTTGTAATCCTTATGACCAGGCGAGTAATTTGATATGAAATGTGATAAGGTTAACCGTGTTGGTGAATTTGACCACCAGTCAAAAGTGTGTTGACCTTTCAACGTTTTTGACCATGGCGCCCTCATTTAATGTCGGAGGTATAGCAAACTATACATTTTTTCAATCCTCATAACCAGACGAGTAGTTTGATATACATATCGACACGATTGGAAAATATTTGAATTTCTACCCTGTATGACCTTTGTTGACCCCTCACGAAAATGCCTGGGATTTTCAAGGGGGCAGCCCAAGTCAAAATTGTTCGGTATTCATCAGGGAACACAAAAACACTTTCAAGTGTGGTTTCTTTGATTGTTCATTACCCCCTATCCTGTGTATTTACAAACAAAAGAATTTAGTTTTCAGAATGGGGGTCATATCCCTTTTTGAATGATGTAAAATTCCATCACATTTATATACACTAAACTCATTATAATTTGAAAAAAAAAGCATTGCAATTATGTTCATTCTTTATGGGGTGTCGTCTGCTTGGGCAGGGTTGGTTCATATTGTGACGGCATTAAAACATCGTTATTTTTCCGGCGAATCTCTCGCATATCCCAGATGCTATAGAGGTTGTTTTATTTGTATTTTTATAAATCACCCGATATGTAGTTGAACTAAAACTTGCACGATGGTCATCTGTTAGCTTACCAGTTTCTAGTAATACGCTATTTGCCATATTTGTGATTTTCTATGAATCCGCACTTTAATGGTACGATCCAGTAAATTAAAACAGTAAAATGGGTCTTATTTTAAAATTACTCATTAAATAAAACCCAAAACTTCAGTGATATCAGAAAAAAATATGTTTTATCGTATTAATAATTAAAAAAAAGATGTATAAACATTGTGAAAGTGTCGCATTTTACGATAAAAGACACCGATTTAGCAAAGATGACGTCATTAGTGCGCTTGCATCAGGGAATTCAAGGTCAAAAGGTCAATTCAGACCCTGATAAGTTATTGGTCGAGCCTTTTTGTTTCCTTTATTCCGACAAAATTATACAATCAATCAAAACAAGTTTGATACCAGAAGAAAGCTAACGATTAGTATTTTCATTAACCGCTTGCCCCAAAGTCTCTTGATCACAGTGAAACGAGTGAGAGCTTGCGAGAGCGGCCAAAGTGTGATTGAAACTCGCTATTTGCTCTTCTCCAACGCAAAAAGAGACGACATTGTGCTGGATAAATGTATTTTTTCCGACAAAAGTACAGAAAATTTGCATATGGTCTTTTTATATTATACTTTATGAAATGTTACCCGAGTGATTTCCGGGTGCCCCAATGCTGGAAAGAAACGCACATTTTAGAAAACTTCACTCTTTCATGGAAAAATGCTTATTTGTTCTATGCACGCAAGTCAGATTGAGCGGATGATACAACGTTTCCATATGAGGGGAAAGGGATGTTGTGATTGCACAAGAAACTCACTGAAAAACAGGAACTGAGGACGAATGGTACAGGTAAGAAAGGAAATGACAGTGAAAAAGGTCAGTTCCAATCCGAACCTAACCTTCGGTTATTAAAGATAAAGGCCGGTAGTAGTAAAATTGCGGTTCAAGAATTTTGGGTGCAAAAAATCCATTCATATTGTTTAAATATTTCCTTCAGAGGTTTAGATGGCAAAATTTCAACCTAAATTCGCAAAAAAGCAGAAATATATGCCCAAATGTTTAATGTTGAAGTGCATTCGCGATATCTATCCAGGCCGGATCGATTCGATAATTTACCAAATATATCAATTAGTAGGCGGTTTCCCGGCAAAATTTGTATCATGACGTACTAGTCAAAACATATTCTTTCACTTGATTGGTAATAAGAGCTTCCATTTCATTTTTTGAGAGGGGGCCGGAGCATTTAACGACAAAGAAAGAAATCTGAGGGCCTAGCAATACGAAACCTACAGCTTATGGTTTTGTTTTGGTTGAGTTTATTGTTAGTGGGGTATGTTCTATTCGGAGCAGACCGATCTAAAATCACTTACTGTCCATTGGTGCCAGTCTCGACGGATCTAACAAGCTGCTCTCCTCTGGTCCTGCCCAGCATTTCGGGGCACAAATCACCAACCAACCCGCAGCTAACAACAATGCCAACCGACGCGACTGAATGTGTACTCTCATTGACTGGGACGACTCCATTTTTATCATGAAAATGCGACAAATTACAATTCACAATCGGAAATTGTTTTCGTATACAGACAAAATTGTTCTCATTCCTTTCACCAAAGAGCATAAAGCAATTCATGCGTCTTTCCTCAGTGCAAAGTCCATTGTCGATCATGAATAGCTTCTCGAAAAAAAATCATGAAGTTTACGCGTGCAGCTAACAGTAACTCCCACCAGATTTGTTTATAAGGGTATTAATGTTCCATTCTTTGTCGTTATGACGTATATCATTAATACGGATATATAGTAACATCAATGGAAGTGTTTCGAGATATAGTCTGGGATCCCCCGAAAATAAGAAATAGTGGCGTCTGTGGCTTGGTTTCAGTTTTGAGATACCAAACTTCCCTGACCACCATAAGTTACCATGATTATAAAAAGGCACTGATGGAGGATGCGGGTGGGGGCGAAGCTAAAACAATTTGAAGAAAGGGGGAGGGTAGTCGAACAAAGATAATGACACATTTATCTACCGACAAGCAACATTTTTTGCGGAAGAAAAGGAAATTGGTTTATGATGATCACTTTAATTGATATTTGTTTATTAGGGAGAGCAAAACCAACAACAAATCAAAAAAGAATCAGACTAAATGGGGAAGATGAAGAAGAAGAAGAAGAAGAAGAAGAAGGAAAAGAAGACGAAGAAGAAGATGAAGAAGAAGAGAACGAAAAAAGAAGAAGGAGCAGAAAGAAGAAGAAGGTTCGAGCGGGACTATGGTGTCTTTTGGCAAGACATCAACTACATTTGCACCAAAGAGCACAAGCGCTCTTGGTTTCGAACCCGAGACCTCCCGGTTACGAGACCACTGCTCTACCAAGGCGGTGAGCATAGGCACCGGAAGTGGGGGGGGGGGGGGAGGGGGGCAAAACGCATTTTTGCCCCCCCCCCCCCCCAAAAAAAAAAAAAAACGCCCCCCCCCCTCCAAAAAAAAAAAAGCAGTAAAGGAGTAACGATGATATGTATTTTAACACAAAAGAACATAACAATGATAAAAACCTGAATAAAATCACATATAAAATTCAATTAAAAGAAAAGGAAAGTTGACAGAAATCAAATTTCCTAAACATTGCGCATGCCACCTATATTGAGGTGTTTATAATAGCGATTCGCGCATATCGTGGAAATATAGAGAGAGAATGGGAAAGCGTGTCTGTTTTTTGTTATAGGGTTGAGAAGACATGAGCCCCTGAACGCTGGCGTACTGATGGGGGGGGGGGGGTATTTTCTATTCGATACCAGTGATTTACAAATGTTGCTGAAATGACATGATTTTCCGGTATTTTTTCTCGATTTTTTTGTAAGTCATACCTTTTTATGCGTTTGTTGGAAAATTAGAAATTCCCAAATTTACAGTCGGGCGAAAATATGCTTATTTAGAAGCCTTTATGTCAGGGTGTGCAGAACGGCTGGGCTCGGGGGCTCGAGCCCCCCCGCACTTTTTGAAAAAGTATGTTCAGAGAAAAAGATAGAAAGAGAGAGAGAGAGAGAGAACAAAAAAGGTGACCTGCCAATGTCACAAATGAGGTATCAAAATATGCTCATCTGACCGTAATAAATGCCTAAAACCCCATTGCTTACGGGGGCTCCGCCCCCGGACCCCACCAAGGGCCTTAAGGCGATCCCCTGGATGCTAATCTGACCGTAATTAAATACCTTAAAACATCTTAGCTTCCGGGGGCTCAGCCCCTTGACCCCCTGCCGGGGCTCAGGCCCTGGACCCCACGCCTATTTACGCTCTACCTGAACGTTAATACTTCCGCGGGGCCTGCATGTAACGTGTAAGAGTTGTGGTGATGCAGATTTTTCTTCTGCTCCCCCCTTCCAAAAGTTTTTGATCATTACGTCACTGCCCCTGGAAGGTGAGCCCCCTGGAATGTTTGTCCCTGGCGGTGAGCCATCCGCCTCCTTGAATGCTGTGATCTTCGAAATAAGTAGACTGTAATAGCAACCAGCTAGAACTGGGGTATTATCAAAGCGCCTGAAGCACCTTGCGTGGTGGATTATGTGTGCCATAAAATAATCCGATGTTATCATCATTATTACATCCATAAAGAGTTTCTGTCTAATATATAATTTGCCCACATCACTAAAAAGTGGTTTTAAAATGTCGATCCGATATTTAATCTGGCAACGAATTATTATTGCTGCCGGGACCTTATTCCGCTTACGGCATAAGGTTAGGGTTCCAACGAGGCTAGAGAGTAGATTTAGGATCAGGGATAGGGTCGGTTCGTATAGGAATTACCGCCGACTTTTTGTCGCAAGAGCAGGTGTCGTAAAACCCTAAAATTACGCCTAATGCGGTGGTCACACCCGCTGTACTTGCAAGTGCGTTCTGTCAACGTGCAAAAACATGGGCAAAATTTCGGTATCCTTACGTGGTGAGTACTAAGTACCGCCTCCGTACGGATTTTGGAGCACGCAGACACACCGTAGCACTTTTAGTGCACAAGGAACTTTCGCTGCGTTCGGGCTACGGTAGGGCTACCGATTCAGCCCCAGTGCTTGTGACGTGCGTGCCCGGTACTGCCAACAGCGCACAACGCACTGACTCCGTGCGTCTTTTAAATTTGTTTCCCACGGTCACTTCCTCTACGGGAGGCGCACTTAGCACGTGCGATAAGTGCGTGTTCCGTGCTTACTCGCCACTTCCCAAGTTCAACTGTTCAATGAGCACGCAGAAGTCACGTGGACCGTACCGAGTAAGCACATATGCTCCGCAATTACAACGCACGTTGTGCGCACTGATGTATGCAGTAATAGTCTCTGCGGTGGAATGGGCGGCATCTTGAGGCAGCAGCAGCTGGGACTTCTGGAGAAAATCGGAATGTTGCCCTAAATATAACCCGACATCGGGCGGAAAAACTCACATCGCACGTCCACGCACTTACAACGTGCGAGTGAGTAAGGACACTGTACGTGAGCAGCACGTGTAAGTACGGCCTCCGTACGATAATGTGGCAACCGCACGGAGACCGTACGTTGTAAGCACGTTGTAAGCACGTACAACGCACGTACAACGCACTTACCGCGTGCGCAACGTACGGTGCAAGCAACCGCTCACGGCCAGGCGTGGCGTGCGGGCCACGTACTTACACCGTGCGTGTGACGTGCGTTGCCTGTATTCCCTTCTTGCCACTCCCTCCCTACGTTTTCAGAAAAACGTGGCCACCGTCCCTGCTGGAAAGAACACACTCATTCACACTCCTTCACAGTGTGAATCACAGTGTGAAATCACAGTTCACACTGTGAAACACAGTTTGATTCACACTGTGAATGAGTGTGAATGAGTGTTTCTTTCCAGCAGGGTTGGCCTCCCCAAAAACCGTACGGACTAAAAACACGCACGGTGGGTTGTGACCAACGCTTAAGTGGTGCGTTGGTCGAACCTCACCCTTTATTCTGCCCCCTAGGTTATGGACTCCATGTTTATTACGTTGGTCTATGATAACTCCACATTTTAAAACCTGATGTAATAAGTACTACTTATTTCCTAAGTCTAGTCTAGGCTATTCGGATGGTCTACTGAATGTTAGTGGGCCAGGTTGGACGCCTAGAAGGGGAGATGGGACACATATGGAAACGTTTGCTTGTATTTTGTCTCATAAAAGAAGTTGATCACAAACTGACTCCCACACGGTGTTGAGTGCTCAGGGGTCACGGGCCCCTGGCTTCACCGGGCAGGTAGTTCCATTATGCGAATGGGTAAATTAGCTACTACAAAATGAGGGGACACATTACATTGTACAATAGGGACACACATTGTTTTTATTGTGCAGAACATACTCTTTATTAACTTACTTATTGCATGAAACTATAAAACCAAAATGCATTTTGTATTCTAACAATTGGAGTACAAAGAATAATAACAGGTGAATGAAATGCATATACACCACAAACACCTGGGGAGGAAGCATTCATAAATTTGAATACATATAGTTGATAAACGACTCCGATGAAACTATGCAACCAAAATGAAATTTGCGTTCTGGCAATTGGAGTCCAAAGAATGATAGCAGGTGAATAACATGCTCCAACCTGGGAAGCTAGGAAGCATCCATAAATTTGAATACTTTAGTTGAACAAAGACTCCGCATGTGGACGTTCGTTGGAGCAGAAAGCAGTGGATTCTTAACAACACGAACCCATTCAACAGAATTTCGAAACGTAAATTAAATTTGGCGCGGTTGGAAAATGCATCTTTCTACCCTGCGACTTTAATGGTACGATCCAGTAATTTAAACAGTAAAATGGCTCTATTTTAAAATTACTTATTAAATACAATCCAAAACTTCAGTGATATCAGAAAAAATATGTTATATCTTACTAATAGTTAAAAAAGATGTATAAACATTGTGAAAGTGTCGCATTTTACAATATAAGACGCCGATTTAGCGAAGATGACGTCATTAGTGCGCTTGCATCAGGGAATTCAAGGTCAAAAGGTCAATTCAGACACTGATAAGTTATTGGTCGAGCCTTTTTGTTTCCTTTATTCCGACAAAATTATACAATCAATCAAAACAAGTTTAATACCAAAAGAAAGCTAACGATTAGTATTTTCATTAACCGCTTGCCCCAAAGTCGCTTGACCACAGTGAAACGAGTGAGAGCTTGCGAGAGCGGCCAAAGTGCGATTGAAACTCGTTATTTGCGCTTCTCCAACGCAAAAAGACACGACATTGTGCCGGGTAAATGTATTTTTTCCGACGAAAGTACAGAAAATTTGCATATGGTCTTTTTATATTATACTTTATGAAATGTTACCCGAGTGACTTCCGGGCGCCCCAATGCTGGAAAGAAACGCACATTTTAGAAAACTTCACTTTTTCATGGAAAAATGCTTATTTGTTCTATGCACGCAAGTCAGATTGAGCGGATGATACAACGTTTCCATATGAGGATTCCCCCTTATATTTCGTCGTTGGAAAAATGTTGCTTCAAAATGTTAGCATTATTTTTATATAGTAATATCAGGTACTACCCCCTCACGATAGAAAGCAACTGAAATTGCACTTTTACGAGCTACTTTGAAGAATGATCAGAGGTAGCGCTCTGGGGGGGGGGGGGGGGGGGGAGGTGTGCTTGTGCACAGTCCCTCCCCACTTTTCCAAGTATCCCCGAAGTGCCCCTATTTACTTCTAATAAGTGCCCCTTTTCACCTCTGATTAGTGCATCTATTCTAATCTGATCAATGCCACT